CACCCTGCCTGTTCTGGCCTCATTTCCTTCTGCAAGCCGGAGAAGCTGTCGAGGCTTAGGACGGAGATGAGGACTTAACAACCAGCCTTCAGGCCCAGGACCAGCCGCCTCCCACTATTCACAGAGCTGCCACTGCCACCCTGAAAGCAAAAGTCTCTGGAAGTTTGCTCAACTGGTTAATCCCTCTGCAAGGACGAATTCTGAATGTGTGAGAGAAAATGATGCCCAAGTCCCTGGAATGTCAAGATATGAAGAATGTCTTCAGAGAGAGCCTGAAGAGCTTTTCAGAGGTGGTTTGCAAAGCCACAGTGCTCGGCATCAGAGTGAAACTATACCTTATGCGACATCAGAGGGACCCTTTTAGAGGAAAGTCGTTGGTCCCCAAGCAAACATTATGTACCAAATATTTTCCGCTAGAAACTCAATTAGATGCTGACTTTTTAAATGACAAGATTCACCTATTACTTCAAAAAGCATTCATTCATTCAATTAATACCAAACAAACGTGGGTTCGGCACTAAGCCAGGCGCTGGGTTCTAAGGGTGAGTGGACTGAGCGCATCATCAAAGAGATGCATTTGAAACAAGGGCTTAAAAGCAGAGTTTGCTCTTTTTCAGAAATGAATGAGCTGTGTAAAATGAAATACAGTACATCAATTAAAACCTGGGCAGAAAAAGGAGGCAAGAAAAGGGGAGTGAGTCCATGTGGGGCTGAAGGGGGCCTTTTGCTCTGAGTCAGGCTGGCAGGACTCTAAATCAGCTGGGGTTTCCCAGGTCGGGGGCTGAAGTTGTCATCTGCAGTCCAGCACCCAGGAACGAGCCCTTGTGTGGGGACAGGGCGCCATCTAGTGTCTGCTCACCGCAGCACATGCCACAGATGTGGGAAGGAAGGTGCTCCGCCCCCAACCTGAAAGAGCAGCCTGAGCTCACACACTCTGAAGTGCGTTGCCCAATGCCAGACACGCTCAGATCTTGTATCATGAAACTCACCCTGCGAGGTTAGCATGTTTCTCGCCGTCTTATCGACGAGGCTGTAGAGATTCAAAAAGGCGAAGCTCCGAAGTAACCCCTGAGCTAAGCAGTGATTTGAACTCAGTTCTTAGGACTCTGAGGTCCTTGCCCGCACCCTGCTGACAGTGGTGGAGAGGAAGGGCTTGAACGTCTCATGACCAAGCTTGAAGGCCATGGCTACTGCCTCAGCCCCTCAGGAGAGGGTCCCGATGCCATGACAGAACTTGCCGGGCCCCTGCCTGCCTGTGCGAACTGCTCACCGGCTCCCTCACGGCAGAGCTAAGCCCCGCCCCTCGGAACCATGGCTGTTTTCCAAACACACCATTCCCTTCCCTGCTTCTGTGTACTTTTTCTCCACGTGCAGGACCGTCTATCTGGAACCTCACCGTTCTCCCTTTACTGTCTTATCTAGTGCCTCTATCCTTTAAGATGGCCAAGCATCACCCCCCAGGAAGCTTCCCGCTTCCTTCCCGCTTCCTTCTCTCAGGTTGCCCTGGACACCTGTCTACTGTGTTTCCCCAGCACTCTGTGCATCCCCATCACAGAGCGCCTCAGACCATCTTTCCTTCAGCTGTCACTCCAGTAAACTATGACTCTGTGTCCCCAGTGCCTAGCACGGTGCCCAACCCATTATAGGAGGTTGACACATGTCTTCTGATGGATGGGTGACTGTTTGAACGGCTGGCTGGCTGAACAGGTGGAGGGGACGCAATCCCACTGCCCAGCTGGGCTCACCATGCCAGGGCCTCATCAGCACCACGTACAAACCAGCTAAGCCAATCAGCATGGAGCACCACTGTGAGGACATCAGTCTAACCGAGAGTAACCGCTTCCTTGCCATGGCTGTGCACTTGTCAGGCCTTCTCACTCCTAGTGTCAGGTCAGCTCTAGGTCACATCTAAATTATCCAACAGAGCTTCTGGAACAACTGCTGGTCAGTATGGTCTCCAGAGTTGCTTGGTCTGTGGTCCAGAAAAGCCCTCACTGACACCATGGGCCTTTGACGAGTAAACCTTCTCCTGCTTCTGAAGTTCAAGGTGAGTAGAGGACAGAGCCTGTGTCCGTGTGGCCCCTTTTGCAGGTGCCTGGCACTGGAGACGAGGGGTGCCCCCCTGAGGCCACACTTCAAGGAAGCAGTGATAGGTTCAGAGAGGGGAAGGAGAGGAATAAGAGGAAAGTAGAGATGGGGTATGAGACCTTGGGCGTTTCAGAGGAGTGGTCGTTGTGAGTGACTGTGTTTTAAAAACAAAACTAAATAATAATGGTTGTAAAGAAAGACTTGTCCTGCCTAAGGAAGAAAAAGAGCAGCTTCGTTTACTGAGTGCCTACAGCATACCAGCATTATTTAATCTTCATAATGACCCAGTAACGTAGACATTTTGGGCTCTATTTTACAAATGAGTAACCTGAGGTCCAATGTCATACAGCTAGAATGTTCCTGCCCAAGCTCTCCTCACTTTCATTCCTGTTGGATTTTGTACCCCTTCAGTCTTTGGGACTCTGGGAGAGCATTGGTAACTCAGGCCCTGGGGCCAGTGATGCCAGAGGGCTGTCTTCGCAGAGCTCCCCAAGGGCTGGACACACAGCTTACTCCTCCACAAAGCCAGGCAGAGCTGGCCCCCTTTTACCTACCTAGGACCCACAGAACTCATTTTTTCCTTTTCTTTCCATTATAAATATTAAAAAACATATATTTCATTGGGAAAACATCAGCTTGGAAATCCTGGAGGCTAAAATCATTTCTCTAACCCGGCGGGACAACAGAAGGAAAGCAGTGCTCTGTACAGTAAGCTGCTGACTGCCCTGCCCTGGGCCTTAACTGGTATCTAGAAGGTTCTCTCTGGTGACTAAGTTTTTGTACAAAACATGAGAGAAAGGAAAAAAGAAAAACAAGGATAAATAAAGGGCAGGTATTTTAGTCCCCTCTTGCACTGTCCTTTTATCAATTAGAGTCCTTTTTTTCTGAGATTTGAAGGCTTAGGACAGAACCCCCAGGCACGCTCTGCCTGCTTGGGCTGGACTTCTAGACAGCCCTCCCTTCTGGACTCCCTGACTCACCTGTCTTGGCACCTGAGGACTGACTGCTTGCTCCTCCGTTGCTGGGCTTCTGGAATGCAGACTTTCCACCTGTCTTGGTCATGATAATCTTCTGGCTTTTAACTTCTCAAAATCACTGATGTCCACCACTCAGACCTTCAGCATAACTTCATCCGGACCCTTGAACAGTCTATCTTTTCCTAGAGCCTTACTTGCCCCCCATGCCCTGGGGTGACAGAAGATGGGGAGGGGATATGTGGGTGGGGACATGGCTTTGCCCCTCATCTCCAGTACTCAGCTTTGGGGGGGCGCAGAGGAAATCAGTGGGGGTGAAGGTTGGCAAGGCACAGGGTATCTGTGAGCTGCCACAGTGATACCTAAACTCAGGGGGGTGAGGGTAACACATGAGGGACAGGAGGGCAGCTCAGACCACCACCAAGAAGCCAAACGGGGGGCTTTATCAGAATTAATTAATTTGAATGCAGATCTCATCTGCACCAAGGAAAACCATCACACAAGTGTGATGAACGGAATAATATGCAAGTGTCATGAACGGAATAATGGTACGACCTTCCCATCACCCAAAAGATCTGCAAAATGGCCTTCATGGTGCAAAGCAATAATAATTTAACTAAACCAAATATTTAAAATGGCAGGGTCTAAAGAGAGAAATAATGATGAATAAATAGACATAAAAATCTTTAAAAGACTATAATTATATGATGACTGTTTACAAAATCAGTAACACTCATGTATTAGTGTGTATGGCACTTTATGGTAAACCACATTTTATCATTTGGAATAAATAAAGGTTTTTTTTGCTTTGAAAGTGCCCCTTTCAAGTGCTCCTTCCTCCGTCACTGCCCATCTACCAGGCTGTCAAACTTCCTTTAGTTCTGCCAATGGACACCCTTTTATCCCCTATTCAACCTCCTCCTTTAGTCTCCTATGGACCTGGAAACCAGGTAGTCATGTTTGTTAGAACAGTTTATAAATTAATAATAAATAGAATTTTAATGAATGGCTCTGGGTTGCCAACTTATGAGTAAAATGCGTGGACCTTGGGAAATGGCCATTGTTCTGATTTTCTGCCCAGGTTCTGGGTTGGTAGGGATGCCAGGAAAGTGAGGCATCACCGTAAAACAAAAAATCGGATATACCGACCATCCGCTGATTAACTCTGCAATGCAGCATGGATTTGTTGTTCTTCTTTGAAGTAGATCTGATAGCCCATAGGGCAGGTAAACAGACTGACACCCATCACATGCAGAAGCCCTTTAAGAAGGCGGGTGTTTTAAATTCACTGGCACCCCCCCCCCACCACCAAATCCAACCATCGGGAGATATTGTCAGCAGAAGATCACGCAGTGACCTCAGATGCCAGATCCAGCCCATCCCACCTGGACCCTGACAGTTCTGTTATTTTCTGTGTTCTTAAAAGCTCAATGTACCCCCGCCGCACCCCCGGACAGTTAGAAGTTAGCCTATCCCTCTACCAGTTTATAGATGCCGGTACAGATGCCTACAAACATATAATTACCTCTTCAGGTCTTGAAACCTAGACTATTACCCCAAATGTGAGAACGCGGCATGCCTAAGGTCATTTAAGTTGGACACCTGTGGAGTCAGTATTGTATAAAGGAAAGCACACCAAGCCAGGAATCAGATTGCTTAGATGATGTTTCTGCTTGTGACAAGGTCGTGGTCACAGGGAAAGAGAGCTGGTCTTGACAAGTCCAAGGCAATCTTTCTGCCTCGCTGCTTCCCTCTTTGTATGCTGCCCATCCAAAGGGGAGATCCGCAGAAAAGAAATCTTACCAGACGAGAAGGTGATGGCTGGAGACACAGTCCTGAAGAACTGTAGGTGGGTTGAGCATGGGTTGGTCTCAGCCAAAGGCCACCCTTGGGCCATATGCAGAGTCCTCAGTGAGGGCCAACGAGCGTCCAGCCTTCTCAGGAGTACAGAGTCATCATCAGCCACTGGAATAATGGGGAAGAAAATTATGATCTATTCAGACCCATCTCTGACATTCAGTTAAGGATGCTTCATTTCTCAGTCACCAGGTCCTAGAGCCTGACGCAGGACTTGGGGCCTCCTCCCCCCATCACTCCTGGGAAGCCAGACAGGACATTAATGGAGAGTTTAGCCAGAAGGACCACACCATCCCATAATAAGTATAAATCAACCTGAAATATAATCAGCCTTGACTTCCCTTGGTGCCTGTGAACGATGATAGCCAAGATGCAGGCTGATTCTATATTCAATTCTCAATGCAATTTTCCCCCATGAATTCAATTTGGCGTGCTTGTGACAGCAGCGTGCAGGTGTGTGGGCCGACTGGGTGGCAGAGATCCAATAGAGCATAGGCTACATGTTTACATTTATGGGCCCATTTGTCTGACAGTTTTATGTGGGTGTGATGAACGGTCCCTCTAACTCACATAGCGGGGAACCTCTGGGGAAACCACTCCCCAGGCCAGTTGCCTAAAAATGGTGATGCTGGTGATGATGAAGATGAGGATGGTGAAGTTACCAGTGGGGTCAGAGAAAAGCCCAGAGTGAAATTCCAGCAAGTTGGCTGCCACTCCCTGTAGGCCTCCTCGATGGCCTTGAGGAGCTCCTCAAGGAGCCAGAGGTGGTCAGAGCTGGAGAGAACGTTAGACATCACCCAGCCAGCTCATCTCGCACACAGGGAAGCTGAGGCCCAGAGATGCAACGCGATGTGCTGACAGTCCCACAGGTGGTTACGAGGGGCGCTGTGGCTTCACCTTGGCTCTTAGCCCAGCTCTCTTGCCATGATAGCACGTTGCTTTCTAGGAGCCTCTGCTCAAGCTGTGAGCTGCCCTGCGTCAGGTGCCACTCTGATGGCTGTCCTGCTCTCTCAGTGCGGAGTATGTCGCTATGGAAGGATTGCTTGGGATCAGGTGTCCTTGGGGATCTGTGCTTGGGTACGGGCTCAGAAGTTCTAACCATTGCCCCTCCACCTGCATCCCACCTTCACACTCAAATATGGGAGTGATTGAGGGTAGATACATGTTGAGGGTCCCTATATCTTAGAAGCTTATTCCACAAACTGAACATCCGAGGTCAAGGAAGAAACCCCAGCTTTTATTAGTCTCTTTCTAAGCAGTCCAAACGGAGGATGTGTTTTAGACAGAAAGGGCAGATGCTTCAACTCCAGACTCCAGTGTCTCCACATGTGGCCCATAGCAGGTGCTCAGTAAATCTGTGCAGCTTGAATGAAAGGGGAAGACAGCCAGTGTCAGACACAGAGCTGTTTTCTCCTCAGCGTATCACCTCATTCATCCAACAAACACTTGTACTTTCACACATGCCTGGCACACAGTGGGTGCCCAGTCATATCTGATGCACATGCACAAATGAATAAATGCAATGAATGCAGTGCTCCATCGTGCACTCAGCAGAACAAAGGGCACTCAGAACCCTCCTCCTTTACAAGCCCCTGAACCGGCAACGCCACTGCTCCCTAAGATGACATGAATCCACCCCGTGCAGAAGGTCTTACTTCTGGCTTCTGCAGGTATATATCCCTTTGCCATCTTGGGTCAAGTTTTGGAAGACGTCTGTGCAAATGCAGTAGAAAAGAACACAGCTAATGCGTGTGTATGTGTTGGAAACAAGAGGGACTAGCTCCTCCCATACGTCCCCCCACCCAGGAAGCCGATTTCGGCCTCTGTGCAATCACACGCGCCACACTTGTTCTAAGCGAGCCGCCTCACACCTGTGCCCTGGAGCAGACAGGGCGTAAGTTAGTTCGGGTAGATGCAGCTAGGTTTCACAGAGCCAGCGTTCCCCAGAGCTCCCTGCACCGGCAGCCGTCCTCTCTCGTGCTTGAACTGGGGACAGGTGGGCAATCCACGAGGAGAGCAGAGGAAGCCCGGGCCCTCCCTCCTTCCCCACAGCTCACCCTGCATGTTCTCCACAAGCAGCATCAAGCGGACAAAGCTGACGAAGTCCATCTGGAGGTCAGGGCTACCGTAGCGGATAAGCATCAGCTGGCAGACGTCATCACTGAGCGCGATTCCTGCATTGAGCAAGGGCTCCCACCGTGGGTGCCGGAAACCTCATATCCAGCTCCCCTCCCACCTGAGGCCCCTTAAATTGTCCCTCCACTTCCGGGACCTGAATCCTAATAGCCTAAGATCTTCTTTTACACGGTTCATTGGGAATTTTTCAATTATTTAGCCTATTAATTTTATTGTCTCTCCATTCTCCATCCCTGTCCCCTAGGCAACCAGCATGAGGATCTTTTTATCGCGTGGGTTACTGGCCTTGAAGGCAGGAGGCAGTCTGCTGAGTGGTCATGAGCATCTGCCTTGGAGTCTGGGAGTCCTGGATTTAAGCCCCAGGCAAGTTAACGTCTCTGAGCCTCAGTTTCTTCCTCTGTGAAGTGGGGATTAGAACGGAAAAGATTGAATGCGAGTATACATGTGCCAACCCTCAATAAATGTTAGCTGTGATCACAGTGATAATAATCAATGGTTTAGTTATTCACGGATCTTGGTCTTTGGGCCTCTGAACTCGGCGAGTAAACCTGCTCATTAGAAGACTGCAGGATGCCACACACCCTGCCCAGCACCACTCACCCCCGCCGCCCCATCCCCTGCCTGGTGTGCGCCCTGCAGCATCAGCTCCGGGCCTACCTGTGTCCCTCGTGGCAGCCCGCAGCTGGGCCCAGTTCAGGCATCCTGAGCGGTTAGTGTCTTGCTTGTGGAAAACCTCCTGCGAAGAGCCCACACCAAAGGCTAAGGAAGCCAGGCGTTTCCAAGCCCCACCTGAGAGCCCCTCACACCCCAGTGTCAAGGCTGCAGGACTGCTGAGTGTGAGGCTCCACCGGTAGGCCCGGCTGCCTAGACAAGACTAGGGCAGGGGGTCCCTGTCAGGATCCCACCTCCTCTCCCAGTCCTCCTTAAGGCTTGTGAGAGTGGGCGGCCTTTCTGTTACGGGGGATGGAGGGTCTTGGTATAGGTAAACGTGCCTAATCTGAGCACGCAATCCAAATTTTGAAGGGCTTCCAACCTTATGACTCAGGAGACGGGAGGAGAGGTGTGAGTAATGATTGGAAACGTGGGAGGAGCCAATTTATGAGGGACTCTAAATGCCCTGCCAAGGAGTGTGAACTCGACTGACGGCATGGGGAGTCTCAGAAACGTTTTAGTAAGGAAGCAATGTGATCAGATGTCGCTTTAAAAATTCAGAAGACTATTGCAACAGGCTCTCTGAGTTTGGGAGAGAAAGGAGGAAACACTAAAAGGACATTAGGGAAGATTAGGTGAGTGGTTGGGTAGAAAGGGCTGAAAGGGAGAGGGGACCTTATAGTTTTGCAGAATTGCCATTTCTGCACTGTCCCGTGGGAGGCGTGGTGAACACTTGTTCTTACCTGATAGAGCATCAGCTGCTTCCATGGGTCCCTGAATTCCTGAATACTCACGGTGCCGGACGCATTAAGCTGATAGCAGGGTTAAGGTCAAAGCCGCCAAGGGAGTTTTGTCCACACCTCTGGAGGCAGTAATGGGCCCTCCACACAGCAATGTGCAATTGGGGACACCCCATTGAATGTTAGCTATCCCTAGCTGGCCTCCCTTGACTGCTCAGTCCAGCCCAGGGCTCCCTGGCCCTTACTAGGAAAGGACAGAATGAGCTGGAACACAGCAGCACTGAGAAGGGAGGATGGTCTGATGATGGTGATGATGACAGTTACCATTTAGTGAAGCAGGGTATTCTGACATGGCCAATCTGATGCGATTTAAATAAAATATAGTAACTCTTTTTTTCACCGTTGTCAAAACCAACTCATGGAAGGAGTCAGACACAGGGTGGCTAAGGATGCCTCTTATATTTAGTCATTTTAGGAACAGTTAAAAGCTGAATGCTTAGCCCTGTAGACCACGTCCAAGTACCCCCGCATCGGAGAGACTGGCTCAAAAACACCATGACACACCACCTCTCTTTGAGCCCTGATGGTGGGCCTAGCACTGAGCTGTACACTTGACCTATGGAACTTCATTTTCACCTAGTAGGTGGGGTAGGTACTAACTCCTCCCTGTTATGTGAGGAAATGAGGGCTCAGAGAGCATGATCTTGTCCAAGTTCATACAGCTGGTGACAAGGCTGGGACCTGCCCCAATGCCTGCATACCTGCCCACCATTCCACACTGCCCGCAGCCTCTGCAAAGTTTCTGCCAACATTCTTTATATTTGCAACCCCTCTCACAGTATCCATTCTATGTGCCTCTCTGTGGCGTGGATAATTAAACTCCGAATAACTTAAGGCAGAGGGTTTGCTAGAAAAATGACAGTGTTGAGAACGAGGAAAGCTGATTTCGCGGCATGTCATGGAACTCCCCAAGCTCTGGTTTCCTGATCTGTAAATGGGGGCAGCTGCTGCCCCATCACCAAATGGAAAACTCAGGACCCTGAGGCTCTTGTAAAAGCTTCTTGTAACCTGGAGAATTGTTACTAACCGCCACCCTGCAGCTGCCTCATCCTCGCTGTCAGGAAGTAAGCTTATTGTTATTAATAACAATATTGATCACTTTTCAATGACAGTTCTGTCCTAAGCACTTTACGTGGGTTATCTCATTTGTATTCACATACCAATCTTACAGAATGGGTTTCGTTTTGGGGTTTTTTTTTTTTAATTTTGGCTGCTATTTTTTGGGTCTTCGTTGCTGCTCACGGGCTTTCTCTAGTTGCAGTGAGCGGGGGCTACTCTTCGTTGTAGTGCACAGGCTTCTCATTGCGGTGGCTTCTCTTGCTGCGGAGCATGGGCTCTAGGTGCACGGGCTTCAGTAGTTGTGGCGCATGGGCTTAGTTGCTCCGTGGCATGCGGGATCTTCCCAGACCAGGGATCGAACCTGTGTCCCCTGCATTGGCAGGCGGATTCTTAACCACTGCGCCACCAGGGAAGCCCCAGAATAGGTTTTAATACCATCTCTGTGCTGCACATGAGGACCTGGGGCACAGTGAGGCTAAGTGACTAGTCGGAGATCACAGACCTAGTAAGTGCTAGGGTTGGGATTCAACCCCAGGCAGCCTGGCTCCAGGGCAAAGCTCTCAAATAGCAGAATGCATCCTCCCACAAACCCAAAAAGATACATCCAGTAGGGCCAGGATCCCCTGGCAGGCCTCGAGGCTGAAGAGAGGCTGTTCGCTCCTTAGATCTGTGAAGGAACAGAAAGAGTCTGCATGGGGGTGGCCCCAGGACTGCATGGCCCTTTTCTGAACAGGAAGAGGCAGTGCTCTCTAGGCCGGCCACAGGGTCCAATGACCACCATTTACGTTGGGGCAGGAAGAATGAGAACAGTGGAGACAGAGAGAGAAGGCTTAGAGGGGATTCCTACATCCAAGTAACACAGTAAAACCCTGCAGAGAACATTCTGGTTTTGCTTCACAGTAGGTCAGATGAACATGGCCCTGTGTATCGGAGGGCTGGGATGGGGGCAGACAGGATGATAGAGTCACAGGCTCCCCAGTCTGAAAGGGCACCTTTTTCAAGCTCCCACCCAAACTGGGAGACAATCTCAGATGTCCTGACAGATGGCCTGTCAGTTCTGGGAGCTCACTTTTTCACATGGATCCATAGCTCCAAGTCAGGAGAAATTTCTCATGTTAATTCCAAAGAAAGCTCCTGTAAAACTCACTCACTAGTCCTAGTTCTATCTCCAGAAAAGCATAAACAGGTATTTGTCCCCTCTTCGACTCCTCCCCTCCATTCGAAACATCTAAACATTTCTCCATCGGTTCCCCAGAGGATATGGTTTCTAAATCCTCACCTCCGTCTTCTACGCACTTTGCTTTGCGAGCATCTCCCTAAAATGTGGTGCCAAGACTGGAATGCACTCCTGCAGCTGCAGGTGGATTAAGCAGAGTACAGTGGGTCTGTCACTTCCAAAATTTTCAGTCCGCATTTCCCAAAGGTTCCAAGGGAGATGTTTTGCAGAGAAAGGGTTTTGAGTTCAAATACATTTGAAACATTCTGTATCTATGACCCTTGTCTCCATCACCATGTACCTTAGCACGTGATCCGTGTACAGGAGCCAATGTTGAAATTTTGTTTAATGCAGAATTTCCTAAGCACAACTGACCATAGAATCTAACCCATTTTATGTCATGGAACACTTACTAAAACCTCTTGGTTTCTAACATTTCTTGGAACACAATTTCAAAAACACACACTAAATGCTTCCATTAAATACCGCCTGAATTTGGATTAGCTTATTTAGCAGCATCTTGAAACTATTAGCACATGTTAAGCTCAAGGTCAACTAAATTAATCAGATAGCTTTCAAATTAACTGCCACAAAGATGAGGTCTCTTCTGTTAGGAACTTGTGCGACTGATTTTTTAAATATTATAAAATGGCAGTTTTTAATTATCACCCTGACTACATTTCATCTTTTTGGCTTGGGCACAGCTTGTGGTGAACATTCTGAATTTCAATTCTGTTGGCTATTATATTAATTATTCCTCCCAGTTCTGTGCCCTCTGCAGATCTGATAAGCCTGCATGCCATGTCTCCTTCCAAGCCATTGATAAAAATTGAGGAAGTGTAAGGGGACCAAGGGCAGAATACAGAGACTCTCAACTAAATACCTAAAACGTATAGGCTCTGACCCATAACATAGAATTATCTCTCTGGGTTCATATTTATATAACTCTTGCGATGATGATAAACTTGTGAATCATATTGCAACTTTCCAACCCACATTTCATCATTTATTATGGGAGACTTTACCAACTATTTTGCCAAAAGCTATAGTAGCTCTCTGATCTGTCAACCAGAAACCCTCTCATAGGAATAAATGAAAGCAACGTGTCCATCCATTCTTTCAAAAGTCATTTTGCATACTTGTGATTAACGCCTTAAAAATTTTCATGTGCAGAAGCCATCTCTTCTACAATTTTTTTGTTTTTTGAGGAGGTGTAGGGAGGGGCCGCATCTCATATTGTATAATTTCTAGAGTCTCCCTTTCTGGCTCTTTTATGATACCCGAGTTTGGCTTTGAGAAGCCATCTGGAAATTATACAGTTTCTGAGTGTGTTTGGGTTTGAAATCTTGGCTTCATGTAAAGGAGAAGCAATCACATATTTCAGGTAGCAAATACCCTTTAGTTGTTTGGTTTACTTTTTTTCAAAATCATGTTTTTCTCACTCAAAATATACACATAAAATACTTTTATATGGGCTTTAAGCTTTCCTGATGATTTATCCCAAGCTTCATACAAAGGCATCCACACCGCCCATCTGCAGTTCTCCTACGTGATGTGCTCCTGTCTATCAGATTTCTGTAGGTTAATCAATTTAAATATAAGCTCATCAGAGAGCTCTCTGGGAAGCTAGTCGATACTTAATATTTATTTGCCGGGTTGAGAAAATGAATGCCATTCTTCCACACGGACTTTATATGCCAAGAAAGAAATATTCAGCTATTCTTCTCAAATTAGCAAACTAGCAGAAATCTTCATTTTCACTGCCATCTATCTTTACACACTCAACTAAGCAAAAAAAAAAAAAAAAAAAAAAAAAAAAAAAATTTTTAAAGCGCAATAAATTCTTCA